CTGGAAAAGAAACAAACAGTTTGTTTTCCCTGCTGCATCATATAAAGTTGTTATATTGGGCAATTATTTGAAAAAAAAAAAAATATATATATATATATATATACAATGATAATGATTATCATAATAATGATTATTGTGAAGATGATAATAATAATGATGATGATGATGATGATGATGATGACAATGTTATGTTTATATTTTGCGGTCTTGTTTTGGTATTAAGTATTTTCCCCTAAAATTCTTATGGTATTGCATTTGTGAAGATTATGCTACCATTGTTTATCCTTACAATTTCCTATGGTTCTCGCATTTATGTTTTTACTAATTCATACATTCCCCTTTAAATCTTTAACAAGAGGGAGAGAGGGGGAGAGAGAGAGAGAGAGAGAGAGAGAGAGAGAGAGAGAGAGAGAGAGAGAGAGAGAGAGAGAGAGGGAGAGAGAGAGAGAGAGAGATTGGAAAGAGCGAAATATATACAGAGAGATATATAATTAGATGGATAGAGAGAGGGTGTGTAAAAGTCTTTAGGGACTCAATGAAGTGGTTGGTTGGACAGTGACAGTGTTATACGGCTTGACTTTATTGATGAAGAGTACAACACAGTAAAGGGAACACATGATACAAATGCCTGGGAGCAGCAGTGGAGGGCCGGAGGCAGATTGTGTTTTGGACGGTGATGGAATGCGTACTGAAGGGTCAACTAGGGTCAGCCATAATTGACAACTAGGCTACAGCTGTGTTGAGATGGTTCTGAACGAACGTGCAGCTCACATGGTAGACGTGTGAAACTTAATTTGACTTTTGTCTGCAGACATGATCTTGAGCTAATGGCTTACACAAATCATGTCATATGCCTCGGCCACCTTCTCGGTGACTTACCCTCGAGGCGCCATTTGATTTGCCTCGCGGGATGAACCATCTTGTCTGGACCTGACTGGCTGGTTAGACGTCCTTTTAGCCTTCGTCTGGATCTACGGGTATTTGGGAAGGCGGCACCCTTTCTGGTATCTTAGGGCGGCTGATACCTGCGCTGACCAGCTCCTGGAGTTTGATTGGATTCAGGCAGGTGTGCCCTTCCACAGCATCCTGGGGCGAATGGTACCTGCACCGATGAGTTCCTGAGCCTTCACTAGATCTATGGACATCCCAACTGGCGGCGCCCTGGCAATTATCCGGTGACATCCTTCCCCATAGCATCCTTAGGCGACTGCCGCAGGGTTCTCCTTCGATGCCGTGTCAGATATCCTTTGTCCAACTGCTATGCTTAGTCGCTGAACCAGATCATACACAGAAGGGCCAAGATAGTAAGAGAAAAAGAAAGGTGACAGAGATAAGGATGCTAAGTGCTACTAGCCGACTATATATAGAAATTTACAGATTTTTATGTTTGTTTTTAATTCATTTTCGCCCTTTTTTTCCTTTTGAAAGGGAGACGTAAGTAGCGGTCTGCAAGGATAGGCTTGAACTATAAACCATCTCTGATAGAATAAGAGTAGATAAAGTAGATAAGGGAAACGCCAACAGCAATCCGTGAGGATTCACTCGAACCATTTGTTGTCACTTAGCAAAAGAAATGTGCAAAATGCGAATTAATGTGCATAGTGTTGTCACTTGTCACGACTGGTAAAATAGCCAGTATCACCGATCTTTACGCCTACAACTAGACAACAACAAACCCTATTAATGAAAAAGTTTTAGGGTCTTTGGTTCTGCGTGGCCGTGTATGTGTAAGCGAATGGGCTCACTCAAGGATTGAATCACAGTGATTAACGTTCATTTTAATTAAATGTGATGAATTAGCAATAATGTTAATAAAAAATTATTTCAACTACCATATTGAATTCTACGTATAATATGCGACAGAATGTACGCATTACTGAACGGTGACATGAAAAATTATTTGCCAGCATTTCATAAGCAAATCTTTAGAAAAGTACTAGGCAATCATTGATTCTATTTAATATACAATTCAGATTCGCTACAAAATTCCGATATACCGAGGTAGCCATGTCCCTGTACCCAAATTACCGATGAAAAGAAATGAACTAAAAGAGACAGGAAAATATATAAATAACCTACTCTATTCTGCGAATCTGTGATGGGCGTTCGTGATATGGCCTTTAGGTATCTAACTATCTGGAATTACATTATTGCTTGGGGTTAACCCAGAACATGCAAGTGACTTTTAGAGTGAATAGGGCATGATGAATAATCAAATAAAATCCTAGTTCTGCAGTTATGAACGGACGTGCTAATGGACTCACACCGACTCGAATAAAAGTTGCCGATCGAACGAATAACCGAGAATTTATGCAACCCCAGGTTATATCTGGCATCCCTGTGCACTATGATATGGAGAATATAATAGCGCTATACTCAATGATAAATTTATGCTAAAATCGCGTTAAAAGTTCCGTTCTAGCGCCGATAGAGCGTGTCACCACTGAGGAATGAAACGATGACAAACTTATTCCTGTGGTGTGAACAACTACAACAACCAAATAACAGGAACAACCAGCTGTCTCTCATAACTATAGGACTACCCACGCGCGCGACTGACCGCATGTAAAAGAGACAGGAGGTGGAAGTGGCCAAGCTATTAATTAATGATAGTATAAATATATGCCACGATGTTCACGATAAAGAGAAATTATATCGGTAAGAAAATTAAACGAACTGAAGAATAAGAACGGGCGAATTTCTAATTGTCAATAACGAAACTCGTACAAGAAGAGAATGAAGTACATAGAATTCCATGAAATAACTATGCAAAATCACAAGGAGTTAATTATCAGTTCGAGAGAAAATCACAAACATGTTGAATTCGTTGTAGATGAAACAATATAGATATCTCAAAACGAGAGAAATTAAATAATTATTTAATGAACCATATACATGTTTACTGACCGCATATTTTAAGAAAAGAAATGCGACCTGGGGTCAGAAAGTGTGCTGTCACAAAAGTTTCCGCACTGAATACTTACCCAGCAAAACCAACTTGAGAGTGACTGGACATATAATTTATATGGCATAACACATTTATGGGAGGAGAAGGGAGGGAAGAGAAATGAGTTCATAATGTGTGCTCACTTGGTTCTGAAGACACTGTATCTGGAAGTGTTGGTAGAGCAGTTTTTGGATATGCGTGTTCGTGTTGATAACCAAAAGGACGCAACGACCATCGTTGTCACCAGTTTGTAAGATACTGTGAGTGAACTGCAATGGTAGTTAACATGTGATTCACAACACATGTAGGTAAACACACTTATAATGAGATGGGATATGAATATCTGGGCGCAAGCACTGAGTGCGGTGGCGTGTCTGGCCAGCCAGCCCCGGGGACGTAGGTTGGTGGTTTTCTGGACAGTGACTGAATGCGAACAGAGGAGTCAACTAGGGTTTTCTTCTGTTTCCCCACAAGAACAGGCAATAAAATTTGTGAATTAGCCTTATTCTTTGCATTTTGTTTAATGTATTTTTTACAACTTTGCACTTGAACCTATATCGTCATACATCACGTACTCAAAATCAATTAGTCGCTTAACTAGTATCAGTTCCCTGCATCTCGGGTCACTGTTGCAAATCTCCTTGCGTTAAACTTCGGGCACGTATCAGTTAACCTAACAGTCCTTTCTCTGCCATTGACGATGTTTTCCCACAATCTTCACGTACCGTTATTGCTCTTCCGATGCCCTTTTGCAGGCCTTTAGATGTCTTGTTGCATCTAATCTGATGCCATGTTCGCAGCTCTTCCGATTCTCTTTGCAACCCCTGTTATCTTTTCATAGCCCTTCTCATGCCCTTTGGCTAGCCTTCAACTGTCCTGCTGTAGCTCATCTCATACCCTTTTCCAGCTCTTCTGCTGCCCTGCTCAAGTTTTCGTTCAGTTCATCCTTTACTTGACTGCTGATCACCAACTGTTGGCCATTGTACACCGTTGCCGTCTGCTGCAGCGGCCAGCCTTCCCTCTTTCTGTTCGAAAACCTCCGCGGCCGCCGCCTCCACTGCTCCCGAGCCCCGTCAATGCCACGCCTTCATCCCCTGCTCCACGTTCTCTTGGGGAACGAAACATTTCGTGCCACTGCTGCACCTTCATTTCCCTATAGAAAAACTCGCTCACCCGACGCACAAGGAAAAGAGTCACATCTCCAACAACACAACGACACTTCAACAGCCGCGCCCTTTGAGTGACTGTCCAATCTGCGGCTGAGGGAGCTTTAAGCATGCTACCTACTCTTGTTGTCCAGTCAACAGTCGAAGGAGAGAGAGAGAGAGAGAGAGAGAGGGAGGGAGGGAGGGAGAGAGAGAGAGAGGGAGAGAGAGAGAGAGGGAGAGAGAGAGAGAGGGAGAGAGAGAGAGAGGGAGAGAGAGAGAGAGAGAGAGAGAGAGAGAGAGAGGAGGGGGGAGAAGGACGATGGGAGGGAGTGAATGTGAGAAACAGAGAAACATTTCTATTTTTTTACTAAATCGCCGGCCAAATGAAACGCTTAAGCCTTCGTTGAGTCCCGCCGTAAAATACTTTTCACACTGTCTGAGTGCATTTTCATTCAAAGACTTTTCAAAAACGCAGGTAAACAAAAACTTTGACAAATTAGTATTAACTAGATTGGAAATTTGTGGCATATTTTTCTGAAAGGACAAATTAAATGATTAGCAAAATCCTATACAAATATTTTGTTCTCATTCCTATGGGATTTCTTAAGATTTGTGCGCTCTTGGTCCAGAAAAAATAAAGCTAGTGCTTTGCTTATTCATTAAAACATACATGTACTTCTACACTCTATTCACATTTTATTCAAAGATTCGTTGCTAGCGACGGAAAACGTGATGCTTTAAAAATCTTCGCGATCACTTCAGAATCTATTTATGTCTCTCTCAGCAGCACACACCCCTGTTTCCGCCATGAGAGGTTCAAGCGTGGGAACCTTCCACCTCGATGCCACCTGCAAGATGCAAAAGTACATATGCGTCGTAAAATACATGCCCGTGTATGTGTCTGT